ACTCCTAACCACTAGCTGTGTCAGTATAAAATTCTTTCTCAAGTTAAATTTGGATTGTTGTGGTTATTCTCAGTAGTCTAATGATTCTTGTAATAACTAATTTACTCTTTTTCAACAGTTCATTAGGTAGATTAATGCTTGCTGATTAACATGTGTAGTTGATATTTATTGCTTACTAAGGAGATTTATTACGGAAGTTGTGAAGATGGTGCAGGATCAGAGAGTGTTTCGTTTTGCTGTATTTAGTGTTGCTTTGAGTTGGAACCAACTTGTAGGCACCTAAGAACAACAAGGAAGAGATTTAAGAAGTCCTGGTGCCTTAAATGCTAAACCCTAGGCTGATTGATAACCAAAAGGTTGGTAATTTGAACCCACTGACATCTTTGCAATGGTGGAGAAGGTGAGTGGATGGGGGGGCGAGGAACCTTGGCTATCTGCTTCCCTAAAAGGTTACACCTGGGAAACCCTATGGGCCAGTTCTGCTCTGTCCTACGAGGTTGCTGTGACTCGGAATCGACTTGGAGGCATACAGCAACAAAAGATAGACTTGTAGCCTGGCCTCCCAAATCCAGCCATTTAAATTTTCTTACAAAATTAAAAATATAAATTCTTAACATGTTCACCTCACTGGGCTGAGATCTATGTCTAAGGAGATTTTTAAATCACAATTTTATTTTACTATGAACTTTTTGTCTGTGAATTGAGTGGAGTTTTATACAGCAGATAAGTCTTCCATTCAATGATTCATCTTGCGTCATTGCATTGCAGTCCCCACAATGGAATATTGCTAATCTTACCTCCTCCTTATGTTTCGTGTTTCCATTCTTCCTTCTGAACATTGTCATTGGGTAAATGCTGTCTGTATGATCTCAAAGGGTTGATTAGTCTAAGGTGTGAGCACCTTTCTACTGTTCTTGTTCCCTAATAGACCTGCGGTTGTTTGACTGAAAACTGAGCTAGGAGGGTATAGGGGATGAGCTCATTTCCAGTCCTAAAGGGTAATTAAGGGCCATAGTCTCTGGGGTTCCACTAGTCTCTATCCTACCAGTAAGCCAGGTATTTTTTATGATTTTGAGTTTTGTTTCATATTCTCCCATTTTCTCCAGCACTTTATAATATGATCCCTTTCAGATTAGTTGGTAGTAACCACCACCACCAGTAGGTAGGAACCGTCTAGTTCTTCTGTCCATTAGTTCAACGGACTAATTGTTTCCATACTTCCTGAATTTCTATCAGTCTTTTTTTCTCCAGATAAGAAGAAAACAATAGTTGGGCCTTAAATAACCACTCACTAGCTTTAAAGACTCCAACTGTTAAGTCAAGTAGGATGTACAACATTGTCATTGTGGATTATGTTATACTAGTTGACCTAGGTGTCCTCTAAGACAATGGTCCTTAGTCTCCAGGCCCAGCAATCCACTCCCTCAGGGTTTGGTCTTAGCTAAGAACTTTGACCCCTGTATGTGTACCATCACATTTTTGTTGTTGTTAGGTACCATCCAGTCAGTACCGATTCATAGAGACCTTGTACACAGAAGAACAAAACACTGCCCTGTTCTGTGCCATGTTCATAATTATTCCTTTGTTTGAGTCCATTGCTCTTGCCACTGTGCCAAATAATCTCATTGTGAATCTTCCTCTTTTTTTCCAACCCTCAGCTTTACCAAGCATGATGTCCTCCATGGACTGGGTCTCTCCTTATAAGATGTCCAAACTATGAGAGATTCCTGTCTGTCTATCCTGTCTTCTAAGAAGCATTCTGGCTGTACTTCCTCAAACACAGATTTGTTTGTTCCTTTGATAGCCCATGGTACTTTTAATATTCTCCTCCAACACCATAACTCAAATGCATCAATTCTTCTACAGCCTTCCTCATTCATTGTCCAACTTTCACATACATATGAGGCTATTGAAAATACTGTGTTTTGGGTCAGGTGCACCTTTGTCCTTAAACTGACATCTTTGCTCATCAACACTTTAAAAAGGTCTTGTGCAGCAGATTTGCCTAATGTAATATGTAATTGGATTTCTTGACTCCTGCTTCAATGAGTGAATACATATCTATTTGCAGCAAAGGTAAAGGTACAAATATCCTGTCAAACTTATATATATTCATGGGTACACTCCTGGCATGCCGCTATAGAGTCAGCACTGGACCACAAGGTCAGCAGTTCAAACCCACTAGCTGCTCCTTGGAAACCCTATACAGGGGTTTTAATCTTCTTATAAATTATCTTCTTATAATTTCGCAATCTTAGAGTTGGGTGGTATCTTAAAGATCATTTAGTTCAGTTTCTCATATATCCATTTCTCTGTCTTTTTTCTGGCCTTAACTCTCCTTGAATACTTAATATTCTTAAGTCCCTTGGATATTTTGCTTTCCAAAGTGGTTTTCATATTTCAGAGCTGTCTACTTTCCCATCTTCAGAATTAGAACATTAGTTCAGTAAATAAATCTGGTGTCTTATCATTAGGAAGAAAATAATCTTAAACAGATTTGTTAGGGAAAACTGATATCTCTAGGCTATTAGCATTTCTGTATGAGGATAATTGTTAAGACAATTGAGTCCATGAATGGCAGAATTTCAGGTAGAAAAAAAAAAAAGAAATGGGGGAAAAACTTTAGTCATTTGGAGGAAAAACAGCCTCAGCAGAACAGCCTTATTGGAGATTTGCCTCATTTGACAGCTGCCTTAATATCTGTCTCTTTTCTATAACGTCTTATGTTTTTCTAGTTATAACTCTACACATTCTTTTGAGAGTCCATCTCCTCCCAT